TTGTCATGCACAGAATGTTGTAGATTGGTTTGGTCGTCATTGCCAAATAAAGCACTAAAATTGAAAATTTCAAGACGTTCGGGATTTCCTTTCGCCCCGACAACCGTCATTGTTTTCATGTGACGTAATCCGAAAGCTAAAGTAAATACATCTTCAAATCAATCATAGTCACCTTCATAACCTCAGAGTTGAATGAAAGCGTCACCCTCACGCAAGGCTAAGAAGGGTGAAACATGGCGCTCTTTGCTTTTGTAGCACTTGCTTTGACCTCACTTGCCTTTAGCGAGATCAGTGCAACCTCAAATACTACCCTAAAATCTTCAGACGGCGCCTATAAACTGCAATGGAGATACAACAACAGCCAGTTGATTTTCACTCTCACTTGTGAAACAACCGGTTATTGCGCGGTGGCGTTTAGTGAAACAGCCGATGGCAAAAACATGGTTAGATATGATATAGCCGTGACAGGATATGCCTCTGGCGCTGGATATGTAGATGTGAGTAAATCTGCAATATTTTTCCTTATCAGTTCGTTTTTTTTTATTATTATTTTTGTTTAACACATAAACGTTTGCGTATATTTTGCCAAAATGCTTTAGCAGGCATTGAGATCACGCACGAATAGTAAAATAATCCTTACAGCCCGTATTGAAATCAATAACAAATGAAAACCATATATAAAAAAAAAACCGACATTAAGTCTTTCTTAGACTTCAGTCGTGTTCTGAGCGAGTTCATTAAAGGTTCTCAAGCTTTGTCAGTTAATTGATATCTCCCCAGGGGGTTGTGTTTAAAGGTGCTCTCAGGTCTCCACCTGGTCTTTATTTGGCTTAGTGCATTCTCCGGAAAGTCTTCCTTTAAGTTGAGTTCAATACAATAAAAAGAAAAGTGAAAAAAATTATTAAACTCTGAAAAATGTACTGTTAAGTTCGGCGAGCTGGTTTGTGACTCCTTAAGTCGCACAAAAAACTTTTCTTTATTAAATTATAAGAAGTGAATATATTATACTCCATTCCTTTGTTATTCTAATGTTTCCTAGGAGCTCATCTTTTACATTTTCTTAACAATGCATAACTCGCGTATTAAGATTTTTCCATAGGATTATCTAGAAGGACTCTAGATCTGACTGCGTTGTATTAAAAATTCAAAAATATCCTGACCCTTCTGGTTTGCCCTTACTGTCTCGAAGCGGACATGGCTCTTTCCAAAAGGCTTTTAAAAAATTTGAAAGCCTTTTTTGACTTAAAAATATGTGCCTACTTATTCTGGTTATAATCTCAACCCTACGCGATATTGAGGGACTTGTACAAAAGAGTTCATAAAACTGCCGACGCGACATCCTTAAAGACCGATCAGTATTTATTTACACGGGGTGACAATAGTTTTTGTTTCTTTATTGCAAGATTAGATGTTACTTTCCAGTGGACAAATAAAGGGGGAAAGGAAATTAGTGCGAGTTTTTGTTGCTAAGTTATCAACCAAAATACAAACAAAAAGACAGAAAGAAGGAGCGAGAAAACAAAATATGTTGTTTGCGTTATTTGACCACGACCCAGTAAGAAATGTTCTTCTACGAAATAATTCGTTCCTGTCTTTCAGAGACAATTTTGATAGACCCATAGATTCCATTCCAATCAAATATCAGACTAGGAGAAAACAAATAATCATTCGAAAAATATTTGCCTTCAAGACGCCCGCGCCCTCGTTGATCACAATAAGAGGCAGATTGCTTGCATGTCTGGACATGTCACTCCATATTTAAAAAACAGACTAGCTGTATGTCAAGTTCTATGTCGCTTTAAAATTGAGCTTTGCCTCGCGAAATCCGAAGGAATTTTGTACGAATTCTCTTGGTGAACTAATATCTTATTATCTTCCTCTGATTCGCTCTCGTGACGAAGTGACAACATTTTTTTCCAAATGTGAGTATGGAATGTTTCTAGTCTGGTTATTTCACTGTAAGTGTCAATTATTGTGACCACATCGCGTGGTTGTTCGTATGAAATTCACCGTGGGCAATCTTGCTAATTGACGGTCGACTTAAAATATTTCTAGTCGTAAAATTAGGTTTGTTTGGTATACTAGTTCCCCATTACTCACTGGCTGATAATTTTGTAGGAAACTATCTGACTCGCTACCTTTTCAACCAATCTAATGCGAAACCAAAACCAATCACGACTCAAGCACTCATTTTTTCCTGGGCTTTTAGCTGACTAGATATGATTTATTTGAGTTATCATTACCCTTCTTGTATCTTTTTCTTTCTTCTGATTGGCCGTCGTGAGTACGTTAAGTTTGGTTTTACAATACTCAATCGACAAGATCTCTAATAAATAGAGATTTAGGGTGAAGTTTTCAGTGGAAGCATTTTTTTAATTCGAAGCATCATGGCAAATCTGAGGTGGTTGGACTTTGTTTTGACAGGATTACTGGAGCCAAGGGCCGGGACCGCCAACGAAAGATGTAGCACAAAATTACAAACTCATATCAGCCTCTGAGGTTGGTGGGAAGACTACCGTGGAGTTTTACAGGGATGCTGAGACGGGAGATGTCAAAGATGTCCAATTTAAGGTATTTATGACGATATTTAGTTGCGCGAAGATGACAAAAGTGCTCTAAATTCGCCTTTTCTAGTTTGTATTTAGGTCGATTTGATATTCTTTTGTGCCAGAAAGCCGAGTTCATCGTAACTCGAAAAGGATTCGTAAGGTTGAATTACCACATGATTAAGATGAGCACTTTAAGTTTTAGACTGAGTGAAGCCATACCAGTAGATCAGGCGTAACAGTTCTTGTCGGGTCTGCTGAAATTTCCAGGCGTTGATACGACAGGATTTGCTTTCCGAATGTACAGATATTTGTCGTTTGAAAGAGATATCATGCCTAAAAAGCTTTTATAGGGAGAGGGGTGGGGAGGGCGGAAGTCTTTCAGGGGGGATGGGGGCGGCGTATCTCAGATTCCTCCCTCCCTGTCCAAAGAATACTTCGCAGAAAATATGGAAGAAAGATGTTCTTAGGGAACATGTCTGACCTGACAGACCACCATTGAACGCTTCCCCCCCTGCCCTCGACAAATTAAAACCTCGCCTAAGATATCTCAATCAAACATCTTTTGATAAAATACTTTTGTTTTTCCTTTGTGCAGAATACTACTGAAGTTAAAGTAATATTTGCCTCGAAGGCCAACAGTGATGCAAACAATAATCGCTTGTCAAAACACGATAAGACCAAAATATTGGATGGGAAGTATAACTTGATTTCTTTAGCGATGGAACTTCCGCCGTTGCCATCAACAACAACCATACAACCATCGGTAACAACGATGCCGACAAAAGAATCGGTGGCTCCCACGACTCCAATGGCTCCTCCAAAATATGCAAGTGTCATGTCTCCTGACGGCTCATTCAAACTCGAATGGACCTACAGTAACAGCAAGCTGATGTTCAAGATGACTTGTAAGACAACCGGTTGGTGTGCTGTAGGATTTACCACAACACCTGATGGAAGAGGCATGAAAAACTACGATATAGCGGTGGCTG